TATGTTTTATATTCAGTTAACGTTTGATCTGATTTAGTCGACTAATCGAATAAATAATCAGTGATTAATCGATTATTAAAATAATGGTTTGTGGCAGCCCTAGCCACAAAACATTTTTAAATCCAATGTCAGCCATAAAAAGAAAACAGCTAAAGGAGCGTTGTTTGTCTTGTCTGTGGTTTTCTGATAAAGCAGATTAACACAGATTAAGACCAGATGTTTGGATTAATATTAAACAGAATCTTTAACTTGTTAAAAAGGCTTCAGTTTGTAAAACATGCTAACTTGTGTTTAAAAGCAGATTTTACTGTGATCCTTCAGTTTCCACCAAACCAGACTCACCCATTTCCTGCTGGGAGCGCTCTGCCTGTGTCCAGGCGAGGATGCTGGGAGGTGGGCTGCAGTGGGCCGCTGCTCTGCTGTGGAGCTGGACCCCACATGCTGGTCCACTGACATGAGACCCTCCAGAGGATTCATCAGGGCTGTGGCAGGCTCCCTGTAAGTCGTCCCAACTCAAACCTCTTCAGTTGGTTTTCATTGGCTGGACGGACGTTGTGTTGGAAGTTCTTACCTTTTATGACAAACTTCAGAAAAAGCACAACAAAAGCCAGAGCCGGGGGTCTTTTTTTCATCAGAGAGCATCTTTAAAGTCCAGCCCAGATGTGAGGAAAAGCTCCTGGATGAAGAACATCTGTTTAAAAGCCGTTGTGTTCCTTCATCCCAGAGCTCCTGTGTGCAGCTCCTCTGTGACCCGGCTGGCTCCTCGTTGTCCTCACCCAGAGCTCGTCTCAGCCTCGGCCCCCAGCTGGCTCCTTGTCCTCACCCAGAGCTCGTCTCAGCCTCGGCCCCCAGCTGGCTCCTTGTCCTCACCCAGAGCTCGTCTCAGCCTCGGCCCCCAGCTGGCTCCTCGTTGTCCTCACCCAGAGCTCGTCTCAGCCTCAGCCTCCGGCCGGCTCCTCTGCTTCTTTCCTAATCGGGTGAGGTAATGAGAGGAACTTCATGTGGTCTTTATCTCAGCCGCCCGGTCATCCTGATCCTCCCCTGGTTGTTTGGCTGCCAAGAAGAGCAGGCAGCCAGGGCCTGGGGGAGTGCAACACAGGGAGGGTGTCCCAGGCCAGGACACTGGGGGGGCTTGGGAAACTCAGAGCTCTGCACACAGCTGGGCAGGGGTTGGATGTGAGGCTCGGGGCAGTGCGACATTTAATATGACCAAGAAGAGGCCTGAACTGATGAGCAGCACCACAGTTAGTTAGTTCTCGTTTAGTTTGAGACACACCGCAGATGTCGGCTCAGTGGGAGTCTGGTTCTTCTGACAGGAATAAATCAGACGATGTCTTTGCACACCTTCAGCCTCTAGTTGTACTCAGAAGAGAGTTTGGTATCAAATATTTACAAGTTAGTTGATTAAATTGGCCAATATGGTGTTTATGTCTGCAAGCATCACATCAGTCAGGGTTAGGTGTTTTTATAACTATAAATCAGTCTTTGTCCTGTTAAACTGGTTTAAATGTCTCTTTTGGTTCTGTTTTAATTTATAAACTATCTGAGATTGTTTTCTTTTAATCACCTACTGACATGAGAAATGTTCAGGACTGTGTTAACTTCTTTCAGTGTGTGTCAGTTTTTCAGTGTGAGGGGCCGTCGAGGGGCCACAGTGTTCATGGAGGGGCCAAGTATCTCTTCAACATGCTTGCACACAAATCCCTGGTTTCTGCAAAGTGTACACATTTAACCAAACACACGTTAAACTCTTGTAAAGGCTTGCACAGTAAATTCTCATTACTTTTACATACATTTTTACTGTACCTAGATAAATACTCTCAAACACACATGTGAGAAAATCAATTAAAATAATTTTCTGTAGGATTGTTCAGATAAAAAAACACTTGTCAGCTTGCTTCATGTTGGACTTTCTGTTTGACTCATTAGTGCCACCAGTGTTTGAAAGTGGAACTACATCCACCATCTGTTCTTGGGGAAAGGACAGGTGAGTGACAGAACAGGTGCACTTCAGGGGGCCAGTGCTCCCGTGGACCACCCCAGGTGTGAAAATATGGACGGAGGACCTCAGTTTAGCCTGTTAGCATTAGCGTTAGCCCCGATGCTATCACCATATATATGTATTAGCTCAGCGCTACACATTCTCCTCTCATCACTGAGGTCCTCCATCCACATGACAGAGAGGGGAACACAAAAATGACTCAGTGTAACTGAAAATATGGATGGAGGACAACAGGTTAGCTTGTTTGTCGCGCTAGCGCGACAAACGCTCTCTGGTTTCATTTAAAAGAGTCGATCATCAGATATTGTCCAAGATTAACCTTCAGGGTGGATATAGCTCGCTAGCAGCCTCGCACCGAGGACCTATCCACGTCATCATTTACCCAGAATGCTTTGTGTGCAAATAAAATGGCTCCGTCCGTGTTAAAATATATTTCTAAAAATGATAAAAACTGAACAGCCTACAGTATTTTTACAGTCTTTATTTTACAGTTAAAACATATATTTATTAAATAAAGTTTAATGTTACAACTAATCATGGATCCCTTTAAAGAATAAAACCATTCCAACATTAAAAACCAGTGGCTACCAGCCAATAAAATGGCTTTAACTTGGTCAGTTTGATGGATACGGAGCCAGAACTTGGTGTGGTAGTAGCTGAGAGTCATTTTAACAGATATTCTGAGAGCTAAAAGGTCACCTAAAATAATTTATAAAGAGCCATACAAAGCAGTGAAAGCTATTCCCGACTTAAAGGAATGTTTGGTTTCTTCAGTCGACAGATCTGTGAAATCCACGAAGGAATTCATGTTTTATCAAATAACATCGGCCTTGAAAGACTCAAACCTCCTGCTCAGGTCACCTCACAGTGATTTTTAACAAGTTTTTACATTTTAATATCATATTTCACATAAATTCTTAACCCTCCTGCTACCCTTGGGTCAAAACGACCCCTGAGGCCTTGGGTCATTTTGACCCAACCTGACCCATGGACAGCAGGAGTCTGAAAACAAACTTAAACAATTTATGTTTTATAAATGAAGCTTTGAAGATGGAAACAAAACTAATAAACTTAGTTCATTCTTTCAGTTTTATTTTAGCTTTAAGATCGAGTCATGAAAATGTTTCAAAGTCCATAACATACTTCAAACATTTCACAATCTTTATAACCAAATATATTTCTTTCTTCATTTATTTCCAACTAAATAATATCAGTTAATCAGTAAAGCAGATTATTTTCAGGTGTTTAAAAACAGTGAAATGATTTAAGTCCATGAACTTCCTGTGGTGAGAAATGCATCAGTCATTAGTATAAAAACCTAAACAGTTTACTTTAAAACTCACTGTTTTAAGTCAGGGAGAGTTTCACTGAAACAAAAATCAAAGGTAAATGTTACACACTGGGCTCAGTTCACAGCTTACAGAGTTGCTCTTATCCGTCTTTAAAACTTTCATAACAAAAGCTTTTAAAATCATCCCAAATCATCATTAAACATTAAAACACTGGAGCTTCACTGTGAGTTAGCTGTTAGTGTGCATGTGTCTACAAGTGCACAGCTTTCATGTTATCAGTCACAGGAATGCGTGGCACCTTGTCCATGATGTCAACACCACAACACCAGGTGACCCCTGACCTCCCATCTGCAGCTGCTTAGTGAACTGGTGTCAACACCAGAGGCTGAAGACAACCATGAAGGCACTGGTCAGGTGTTCTCTGGTCAACCTGTGTTACCTGCACACATAAAGGGCTCTTCTGAACACAAGTTCAGTTCAGACTGAACCATAAACAGGAAATAAAAAGGACAACAAGGAAAAATATCCTGTTTGCAGAAGCTGTTATAGTGGATTAGTGGACCGAAGTCCACACGAGGCTGAAATCTGTGGGCTTGCATGACCCCTTCCAAGCATTAAAGGGCCAGTACTATGTGTTTCTCAGGCATATATATATAATTTAAATACTATACCATAATAAAGTATTTATGTCACCTTTAGCTGTTATTAAAATGATGTTTTATGTTTAAATAGAAATTAAACTTATCTTCTCATCACTTCCTCTTCTAAACGCCTTGAATTTGGTCTCTGTTTCTTTAAGAACCACCTTCGCTTCTGTCCCGCCCATTTCAGTGCAGGAGGGCGGGTGTTCGCGCTCGCGGGGGCTGCTATGATGCAGTTTACTTGGCATCTGAAAACACATTTCCTCAAAGGTATTTTTAATCTGAAAAGAGCTTCACTTACTGTGTTTCCATTCACCATGAAAATGTGCAAATTAGAATTTATAAAATAAATTTACTCAATAGAAACACATCAATTTTGAAAAAAAATACGTTTTTCGACAAAATGTTTTTGCTCTAGGATGAGGTGGTTTTTCAGCCGTATCTAAATTGGTGTTTTTCACAAAAACTGCAATGGAAACAGTTTTTTCACATCACAGGAGTCACGTGATCAACAACCGTCTGTTTCTACTGGTGAAAAAGACGATGAT